GCCTCCCACCCGACCCATGGTAACGGGTGACCAAAGCCTTCAGCCCTGATAACCCCTGCCCAGAGAGGGGACCATGCAGGGACACCCCAGGGCTTTGCGGTGCCAGGGCTGCCAAAGGTTTCCTTGGGTGGATTTGGCCATGGCTGAAGGCACGTGGTGACCTCGGCTTCGCTCCCAGGCCAGGGACACACATCCCTGACCGTGTCCGGCCACTGTGTCCTGCTGGCAGCTAGAAGTGGTTTTCCTCTTCCACACAGGAAGCCAAGGAAAAAACAAAACCCACCCTTTCCCAGAAGTAGCTCCAGGCACCCACAGCACAATTTCACACATTAGGAGCAAGACCACAGCAACCTCCTCCAGCCCTGGAGCCTCTCCCCAGACCCCCAACACAGCTGCAGGGATGGGGACACCCCTGGGGACACCCCCAGGGATGCAGAGAGTGTGAAGGGCAAGCACCACAATGCTCTGACCCCGCTTCCTCCCCATGGATGACCCAAGTCATCACTGCCAAAAAATAATCACCATTTTATAGCTTATTAGCCCAGTTTATCAGGAAGGGGGGCAGGGGCGGGGGCTCTGGCTGGGGACAGAGGAGCCAGCAGGACCTGGGTGCTGGCCAAGGGGGTGGAAAGGTTGTGGCTCCCATCCCACTGGCACGGAGCAGCCTGCTCTGAGCTTGGATCCTCATTAATGCCAATCCCAGTGGCACCATCAGCCAACCACGAGTGTCCTGGAGAAAGGGGGGGATGCACGGGTGCAGACTTCGGTAGCCAAGCACAGAGTGATTTCCACATCCCAAATTCAAACAGGCTGAGAGACAGCTGCTGGGGGAGTTGAAAGGGTTTGGGTGGGGACTGAAAGGTTTTGGGAGGGGACTGAAAGGGTTTGGGTGCTCCCTGCCCTGCCAAATATGGCTACAGGGAGTTTCCTCAGGCTGTGCATCCCGGGTACCACAGTAACATCCCTGTCCCCAGGCACTTCCATCCTTTTGGCCCCGCGGTGCTGGCAGCGCAGCAGGTTGCCAAGAGCTGCTCTCCCGGCTCCTGCTCCCATTCCATCCCAGCGCCCGCCTGAGCGGTTTTTAAGGAGAGCAGTGGGTGAAGTGCTATTAACCGGAGCTCATTGCTGACATTTCCTGCCTTGTGCAAACCATCAGGGATGCAGGGAGCAGGCAGGCGGAAAGGGAACAGCTGCCCGCTCCAGCCGTGCCCGGCAACGCGGGGCTGGCTTGGATGAGAGCTGGAAAACCTTGTCACCACCGGGAGGTCTAGGACAGCCACATCCCCTGGACACAGGGCGCCAGGAACCCCATCTTGTACCACTCAGGCATCATGTTTTCCAGGCATTCAAACACAGGATGGCCAGAATCCATCCTTGGCGGCTGCAAGAGGTGCCCAAGCTGCCGTGGGATAAATCCGTTCTCCCAAGGCAGGCGGGGAGCCCGGTGACATCCCGTGCACCGCATCCCTGCCCCGGGATGTCGGGAAGGGATTTATGGTGCTGGATGATGGGAATCCTCTGACGCCCACGCAGCATCCAGTTGGCTTGGGCACCCCCGCGGGGTGCAGGGAAGGAGCTGGAAAGGGGAAGGCTGGGCTTTTGAAAGAGGAAATGAGCACTGTATGAACTGGGGGAAGGGAGAAGGAACCTGCGTGGACCCCGCAGCCACCGGTCGGGCAGCACGGGGGGCTGCAATTAAAAATTAACTGGTGTAGTCAGCAGTGCAGCTCTGCCCTGGGGGGGGGGGGGGTAGCGATAAAACAAATAAAAAAATTTAAAAAGTAAATAAAAAAATAAAATGAAAAAAAATAAAAAATAGCATAGTAAAAGAATAAAATAAAACGTAGAATAATAAAGGGTAAAAATAAAAGAAAAAAGGGTGAAAACTAAAAGATAAAAGGTAAAATAAAAGAGTGAAAGAGAAGAATAAAAGAATAAATATGAAATAAAAATAAAAAGTGCAAGAGTGAAAAAATAATAAAATAATGTAATAAATTAAAGATTATAATAATTATAACTATAATAATTATTAGAATTCTTTATTATCATACAATAAAATAAAATTCAAACAAAATAAAAATCAAATAAAAAAATCAATAACGAAGTAAATAAAAAATCAAAAACCATTAAAAAAAAATCGAGCAGACCATTTCCTTTCCTCTCCTAGGATGAAGACGCGGGAAGGATTTCCCAGCGCTCACCTGGGGGAGCGAACAGGGCAGAGCCCACCCCAGGCTGCAGCTCGGTCCGGGCAGTGCCGAGCCTCGCACTGGGGGTCCGGACCCTGGGACAGGGCGGCATCGGGAGCCACAAACCACAGCAGCCGCGGCCACATCCTGCTCCCGCGACTCCCTGCGCCGAATCCTGAGGGAGCCGGGGGTCCCGCAGGGGTCTGGGGGTGCCTCATCACCCCCGGCTGTCGCAAGCAGGGTCTGACCCCCCAGTCAGACACCCCGCAGAGGGAATTCCCACGAGGAAACCAGCGATCCCCAAACCCGTGCCAGGGCAGGGAAACAGATCCCAACGAGCCGCTGTCCGGAGGGGAGGGGGCCAGACACGGCCAAGGTCAGCGGCGGGGGCCAGGGCTGCGCTCGGGTTTCCCTCCCGGCCCAGCGCCACGTCCCAAAGCCACCGGTCTGGAAAGCTCCGCTCCAGGCGCTATGGCAGGGCGGCTTCCCACAGCACGCTCTCCCCAAACCAAGAGCCTCCCGAAATCCAGAGCCTGCCCGCGCTGGGTCAAGCTCCGGCAGGGAGTTGTGCCAAGGGATTTAAAAATCAGGCCCTGACACACGGGATTTAAAAAGAGAAAAAAAAAAAAAGTCATCTTTCTTTCCTTGTTTATCCTCTTTTTCCATGACGGCTGAAGGGATTTTTGCTGGTTTTCCGGCTGCCGGGCGCTCCTCAACAGCTTCCCGCTGCCTTGGTGGCTCGGGGCACGCCGGTGCTCTCCCCTCGTCCCACCCCAACTCAGTCCCCACATCCCGCCCCATAAGGATCGGAGCGATGAGAACCACGCCGGGATTTTCTGGGAGGGAAATCCCGAGCCGAGGGACTGCCAGAGGAGCCCCCCGGACCGCAGCCAGGTGGGATGGTGGGATGGAGCCGGGGCTGGGAACAGAGCGGGGACAGGGACCACAGCACCGGGGCTCCTGTGGGGGAGGACGGATGTACCGGGTCCTGCTGCATGTCCGGGGGTCCCTGCGGGGGTCCCTGCGTGGTGGGGGCAGCCCTGCTCCCCGGCAGCACAGGGGGAGCACCTCAAAGTTGGAGCATTGCCTGGGGTACCCTAAAGCATTGCTGAGGGCACCCCACAACATGGGATGCTCCTGGGGGTGTCCCCGAACCGCGGGGGACATCCCAGCACTCCCGAGAGAAGCCCCCAAAGCACTGAGAACTACTGGGGGCACAAAAAGACATCCTGGACAGAACCACCAAAGCAAGGAGGATCCCAAAGCCACACTGGGGGAACTCACAAAGCAAGGCAACCACAAAGCCTTCCTGGAGGAAACCGCAAAAAAGCAAGGGGGATCCCAAAGAGACCCTATGGAGAACCCTGCTGGAGGGACACCCCAAAGCCATCCTGGGTGGGACACCCAAAGAAAGGCAACATGAAAGCCACCCTGGAGGGAACCCCCAAAGCAAAAAGGAACCTAAAACCACCCTGGAGGGAACCCCCAAAGTATATGCACTGCTGGGGGGACACCAAGCCATTCTGGCCAAGCCCCCAAAGCAAGGGAAACACTCCAAAGACACCCGGTGGATGGCATCCCCAACGGGGACGTGTTGAGGGGACACCCCACAGCACTCCTGGGGTAGAGGGGGGTCCCTCCCGGGGATGGCCCCCCCAACCCAAACCCCTCCCTGCCCCCGCGGGGGGCACTCACATGTCCTTGACGGGCAGGTTCCTGCCCTCCACGATGCGGATGGAGAGGGCGCTGCGCCGGGCCATGGCGGGCGGGCAGCGGAGCCAGACCGAGCCGAGGAGACCCGAGCGGAGCCCAAACGGCGCCGAGCGCGGCCTCGAACCTGCGGCTCCCGGCACAGCGCCCATGTGCGGGCCGGCGCCGCCGCCCCCCAATCAGCGTGCGGAGGCGGGGCGAGGGGCGTGGTCCGAAAGCCCGTCCGCGGCGGCCATTGGGCGGTTCTATCGGCTGTCAGCCAGGAGGCGTGGCCTAGGCGCGGTGGGCGGGGTCGGGTCCTCCCGCCCTGCCGGGGGTCGCGGGGGGTCCCCCGGATCGGTGTCCCCGGTTCCCTTCGGTTCCTCCCGGTCCCGCTCGGTCTCCCCTCGTCCCGCTCGGCCCCCCCGGCACCGGCCGCGGCTTCTGGGTTAGACCAGACCCACACTCGCCCCCCCACGAATTTGGGGGGCTGCAGCGTGCTCCGCGCTGCCCCGCACCCCAAAACCCCGACGTTTTCTTGCTCTTTTACCTTTTTTACCCTTTTTGCAGCACCACCGAGATACCGGTGGCATTTCTGGGGGATCTTGGCGCCCTAAATACCGGCGGAGAGAGGGGGAACTCCTCCCCCCCGCAAGACCCACCTGGGCTCGAGGAGTCGCCCCGCACCCAAAGCTGGGGCTCAGGGCTGTGCCAGCCAAGCTGGTCCTTGGCATTTGCGCCGTGGGGACACTACGGGGACACTCTGGGAACACGCCGGGAACGCGCTGCCCTGTTCCTACAGCGCTGCCCCTCTCCCTCCCCCGCACAGGGGGACAGCAGGGGGACAAGGTGCGGTCCCCTGTCACCAACCCCAGTGGCAGCTCCAGCCCCGCACGCGGTCGGGGCCACGTGTCCCACCCCCACAGCGCCCGTGACAGGTGACACTCCCCCCTCCCAAACCACTCGAAGCCGCTTTGCAGCTGAAACAGTTGTTTTATTTCGGAGGACGGGGCGTGGGGTCGGAGGGGACCCGCGTTTGCCGGATGGAACCGTCCTTCGGCTGCACCCACGCTGGTTCTCCGCAGGAGTTAATCGCTGGATTTGCTTGATTTCCCTTGGCTGGGCTCCACGGGGGCGGCTCCGGCAGCGGGGGGGGGGCAGGTTGCTAACACCCCTCCCAGGCAGGACAAGGACAGCCTGTAAGGGCGCTGTGACCGGGGCTGGGTGTGAATGTGATGCTGCCCTTTGCACGGCGCCTACGGGGAAAAACGGTGGGTTTAACACACGGATGTGATGTATGTTGGTGTGTGCACACCTGCCCTGGCTCCACGCAAAGGGGTACAGCCACCCTGCCGTGAGCTCTGTCCCGCTTGTCCCCAGCACCAGTGGGGTCTCATCCAGACCAGGCTCCAGGATCAGGGCACCCACATCCCCCACATCAGTATCAGGGGCCCACATCCTGGTGCGGGATCAGGAATGATGGATCAGGTCTCTCCCAGTCTCTGGCAGAGCATCAGCTTCCCCCAGCTCACTCCCCACCAGTGCAGGATCAGCCCCCACATCCCCTAGAGGGAGATCAGGGATTCACTCCCCAGTGCAGGATCAGTCCCCATAACACCTGGAGCAGGATCAGGCATCCCAGGGTACCAGTCTCATGGCTCTCAGGGGAACATCAAGAGCACCTGGGAAGGATTGGGCCAGCTCTGGGTGGGCGAGATTCTCCTCTGGGTTTGGATCAGCGAGAAATTGCTGTGGGGTTAAGGGGAAGAGAGAAACACCCCCCGTAGGACATTCCAGTGGCCCTCACCCCAGTGTCAGGGTTTGGGGGGCCTCCCCTCGCTGCCCTGTGCCCCAGGGGACTTTCACCCATTCAGAGTGGACACAGGTGGCACCGGTGCCCCAACCGGGTGTGACAACACATCTCCCACTCCAGAGCATTGCGGGCCACATCCTTCCCCCCACCCAGGGACAGAACTCAGAGCCCTGCGTGGGGGTACAGAAACAGGGCCACGGGGCTTTCCAGGGGGCTGCGTGAGGCGCTGAGGTTTTGGCAGGTGCCATTCCCGGGGAGGTCACAAACAGGAGGTAGAGGCCTGGCACAAAGCACGCGGAAAAGCCTTTAATGTCCCTCTCCAGTGCCCCAGCCCCGGGGGGCAGCTCTGGCCGTGCCCGCGTGGCAGTGGGCTCATGCCGTGGGGGCACCCGGGGGTGCGTGGGGAGGCGGGGCGGTGCCGGGGGCCGGCGGGGAGGCGGCGGGGGCTCAGAGCCGGGCGGCCGGCTGGTCGTAGACGTGGTGGGTGTTGTACCGCCGCACCGACACCGCCTCCGGCTTGCTGAAGGTGCTGCTGCCGCCGCAGGCGTCTGAGCTGGGGAGGGAAGCGGGGGGGTGAGGGATGAGGGTGGGGACCACAGGATGACGGCATCACCCTCTGGCGCCGATCCCGCGTGCCCAGCACCTATCTCTGGGTTCCTAGGTGGGACTTGGTGGTGGCACTCACCCCCAGAAGACGAACATGGCCACCAGCCCGGCCAGGAGGATGGCGAAGAGGATGGAGAGGATGGTGGTGAGGGCGATCATGCCGGCGCTGTGCCCTCCGTCCGTCGTGGAGATGCTGTTGGATGACTTGGCTGGGGAGAGAGCAGGATGCAGGGATGCAAAGCCCTGGGCGGCTCGGGGTGGGGGCACGTGGGTGACGGTGTGTCCGTGCGTGCCAACACAATGTGCCATCACACAGTGAGATCCGCACCACTGCCCTGCCTCAGTTTCCCCATCTCACAGGGGCCCTTGCCCCAAACCACTGCTCAGGATTCAGCTCCCTGGGACCACCCCACACCCCCCAGGACCACCCTATATCCCCCACCCGACAGCTGCGAGGTGAGCCCCCAGCAGCAATACCTGTCCTCAGCATGATGGGCTGTGACCAGCCTGTCTCGGCCACGGGCTCAGAGCCCTCCAGGGCAAGGAACTTCACCCTGAGATGGGAAGGGAGGTTGGCCGCGGTCCCGTGAGCCGGGGGGGCTGCCGGGAGCCCCTGATGGGGGCACGTCCCCAGGAGCAAACTCACAGGTAGGGCCCGGGGCCGGGCAGGGGGCCATTGCAGGTGGGTCTCGCAGCATCCCCGCTGCAGCTGGTCTCGCTACCAACGCGCAGCACCGTGATATCCCCGGCGGGTTTGGGGCAGGGGTAGTTGGCGAGGGTGGCATTGAGGGTCATGTAGGCGGGGACGCTGTCAGGGAAGTTCTGGAACGCGCTCTCGGCAGTCCCCGGCGCAACGCTGTTGCTGAAGTTGGCTGCGGCTGCAGGGATGGGGATGGAGGGTGAGGAGGGAGCCGAGGGGCACAGGGCCCTGCCCTGGGCCGCCCCCACCTACTGCTTTCCAGAGCCACCACCAGCCAGATGTCGGCGTTGCTGTACTTGTCGAAGACGCAGCGGGGCTGATCCAGCACGAAGGTGGAGCCGGTCGTCAGCCCCTCCAGCACGGGGCTCTTGGTCAGGGACGGCGTGTACCCCACACGCTCCACTGTGGGGAGAAGCCAAGGGGGTGCGGCGGAGGATGCAGAGGTCCCGCTGCAGCCCCTGACCGGTGGCTCCGACCGGCTGCCACGGTCCCAGAGGTTCGGGGTGGGGACGGGAGGGAGCTGAACCCTGTGATCTCAGCAGAGGGGCCCCTGCTTGCTTCCCACCCCCTGTTCTGGGCTCAGACGCATGTTTTGTGAAAAGAGGAATCAAAGATACCCCGTGCTCCCACTCGGTGTGGGGGGGAGACACCTCTGTGGGACCCCCAGAGGACCCAGGTCGTTGACAGCAGGGACACTGAGGGTGGCACCCAGAATAGGGGGAGCATCAGCTGCCCTACCCCTCCAGGCTCAGGGGGCTCCTGGTGCCTGTGCACAGTGGACTCCTGCAATGCAAAGGGGGACCCCCAAAGGACCCCACACTGTGTCAGCCAGCTCAGGTCAGTGACACCAGGGACACTAGAGGTGGCACCCAGAATAGGACCCAGAATAAGGAGGGCATCAGGTGCCCTACACCTCCAGGCTCTGGGGTCCTGTGGTTCACAGAGGATCCCCGCAATGCCGAGGGGGATCCCCAGCCCATCCCGATGGCGCCGTCGGACTCACCTGCACCGTGGGCTGCGGGCAGGAGCAGGAGGAGCAGCGGGAGCAGCGGGAGCAGCGGGAGCATGGTGCGGACGCCTGGGTGCCGAGGGCGGGAGTGCGGGTAGTTGAGCTCCGCGTCCCCGTGGGACCCGCCTGTGGTCACACCAACCGCCCACATTCCTGCACGGGCCGCAGCCCCGCGGCAAACAGGTTGGGCTCGTTTCCCTGGGAGCATTTGTTATGTTTGAGCGCCCGCCGGCGAAGCGTGTTGGGAACCGCCGCGCTCGTGGCACGGCTGGGTGACAGCCCTCACCCGGGCAGTGGGGCAGAGAGGGACACCCCGGGGGGACGTGCCCCACAGACCCCATGGGTGCCAGTCTGTGCCCCCCACCCCGACACCAAGTGCCACCAAACTGATACCCTGGGTTGTTCTGGAGGGAATTCGGTGCCCTCACTCTCACAGCTCCCACCCTGCATGACCAAGGACCAGGAGGAGGCAGTCACAGATGTAAAGTCAGACTTTACTTGGCAGGACACTTTACTTCTAGCGGAAGGTGTCCCTGCCCATGGCAGCGGGGTTGAAATGAGATGGTCTTTGAGGTCCCTTCCAACACAAACTGTTCCATGTTTCTAAGGCAAGGAGCAGGGGGTCGGAGGGCAAAGCAGCCCAGCCCTGGGGGGCTACACCCACAGCCTGGGGGTGGGGGCTGTGGCAGGGCCGGGGGGATGTGATGGGTCCGGTAGGATCTGTGGGCAAAGGCACTGGTCCCCAAATCCCGCTGGCACAGGGAGCCCCACACCTTGGCACTGCAGAGAGAGAAATGCAGAGGCATCAAGCAGAGTCCATGGGCCGTGCCAGCCCCCCCGTGCTGACCATCCCCAAGGGGCACTTTCTCCTGCAAACCTCCAATTTAAGAATAAAAAGGCTTTTTAAATCTTAAAAACATCCATTTCTTTGCTGACGGGGGCGAGTTCGGGGGGGTTCTCCTGGGGCCCCTGCAGACACATCCCCCTGAGCAGTCCCCATACCCCAGGGCTCCGAGCACAGCAGTGGCCAGCACTGTCCCCAGGCTGGCCAGGAGGGAGGCGATGACCACCACGTCACTGCCACGGCGTGTGGGCACGGGGTCGATGGTGCTCGGGCTGAGGGCTGGAAAGAGGCAGGATGAGGGATATGGGGAGACACAGAGGGCAATGGAAAGGAGAGGGATGGAGCGTATGGAGGGCATCAGGGATCACTGCTCCCCCCTCTGGATTTTTGGGTGACGGCATAGGGCTTATGCTGTGCCACATGCCAGCATCCCAACAGGGCAGAGGGGGGACCCACGGGGGGATGGCAGTGCCACCAGGCAGGTGTGGGGACCCACGGGAGGATGGCAGTGCCACCAGGCAGGTGTGGGGACCCACGGGGGGATGGCGGTGCCACCAGGCAGGTGTGGGGACCCGCGGGGGGATGGCGGTGCCACCGGTACCTCTGCGCAGGAGGATGGGGTCGGACCAGCGCGTCTCCGCTTTGGGGCCGTGGCAGCCCATCAGCAGGAACTTCACCCTGCGGTGGGTACGGGAGTGACACCGGGGGGGCGATCACGCCCTGGGTGGGGAGTTACCCAAGCTGGGATTCGGGGATTCTGGCCTTACCTGTAGGGCCCTGGGGAGGGCAGGGGCCCGTTGCAGGGGTCCTGCCTGCCCTGGTCCTTGCACGCCGTGTCACCCCCGACCCGCAGCACGGCCGGGCTCGGGGCTGGGCAGGCGTACGCGGCCGCCGCCGTCTCCAGAGTCATGTAGGAGTGGGTGGTGGGCAGCTGCTTGTACGGGGGCACGTCAGCCCGGGATGGGGGGTTCCTGAAGGTGGCTGACGCTGCACGGCACAGATGGAGGGAGAGTGGCTGTGGTGAGGGTCCCCCACCCCCCTGCCACGGGAAGATGTGTCGGGGCAGCAGGTGCTCACCGTTGGCAAAAGCCACCGCCAGCCAAACAGTGTCCGAGGCGTTGGCGTGCCGGTCGAAGATGCAGCAGGGCCTCTCCAGTGCGAAGGTGGAGGCAGTGACCTTCCCCAGCAGTGCCACGGGGGGCACGCGGGGCACGTAGGGCAGCCGGGCTGGGGGAGTGGACGATGAGTGAGGGAGGGACCCCCTGCCCTGCTCCGCTCAGCAAGTGACTGACCCCGGCCCTCACCCGTGAGAGGGCCCACGAGTGCCGGTGTTGGCACAGGGGGAGCTCACAGGGTGCCAGCAGTGTCAGCAGCAGGGTGACAACACTGGTGTGGGGACCCCCCCAGCCGTGCCCAGCCCCATAACCCCCTCCCTGGCTCTCCAGACCCCCGTCCCCCTCTGCCCTGTCCCCCAGGGAGTCACCCAGGCCCGCGGCTGTGCCTGTCCCAGCCAGCGCCAGCAGCACCCACGGCAGCTCCATGGCGTCCTCCCGCTGGGGCTGGATGTGCCTCTCTGCTCCGCTCACCCCGTCCCACTGCCGAGGGGACGAACTGCCCCCAGTGCCCCCGCAGCGGGGACCGCCCGTCCCGAGGAGCCGGACCCTCCCAGCCCCACATTCCTGCACCGGCTCTGCCGGCCCGGCAGGACCCCGCGGGCAGGGGGGAACAACTGAGCCACCCGGGTCACCCCTCGGTCCTGCAGGACCTCGAAGGCTGCGAGGGACCAGGGCACAAGCCTGTGATGTGAAAGGGGAAACTGAGGCACGGAGGAGGCACCGGAGCCTCCCGGATGGGTTGGCGGGTGTCACAGTCTGTGTTGGTGCTATGGGGACAGCTGGGCAAGAGGTCCCGCACCCCCTCTCACCCCACCTAGACCCAACTCCCTGCGGGTTCCCCGTGCCCACCGGGAGCCAGGGATGAGCCCGTGCCCGACTGGTTCGTGTGCAGCCAGCCCTGCCCCGCGGGCAGGGAAGCGCTCCAGAGCATCACACCCGAACCCACCCAAACCCCAGCGATGAGGCGAACGGTCCCACCCAGCACCGGGGGCACGGAAGCACCAAGCTCTGGGGCCACCCCACGCTGGCATTTCCCCATCCATCCTTCCCTCTTCCCAGGGAAAGGCTCCCCAAGCCCTCTGGATGGGGCCAGGGACAGCGCCCTGAAGCGGGAGCTGCCCCGCGGCTCGGGAGCCCCCCACCGCCACTCCCCACGCAAAGGGGTTGGAGTGCTCCTTCTCCCGTGTTTGCCAAGGGCAGCGGCCGCCCACTCCTGCGTGGGAGGGGATTTCCTCCCCCTTCCCAAGGGGCCGGGACAACGCCTTCAGATTAAGTGGAAATGGGGCATTCAAAGATTACACCGTCCAGCTGCAGAGGGGAAAAACAGGCGCAGCTGCAGCTTCCATCCCTCCTCCCTCTGATCCCTGACTTACTCCCCGCTCCGACGCAGCAATACCTACCCTGGGGACCCTGCCAACCCTCCACCCGCCCCCCCCGACCCCTCCCTGGCACTCCCGGCGGGGCGAGGGGCAGAGTGGGTGACGCAGGGGGACAGTGAGTCACAGTTTCAGCTGCCGGTACCCAGCATAGCTGCGGGGTCACGGCTGGGCTAATAATAACCACCCTGCGGCAGATGAGGCACCACCGCGGGGGGCCGGGAGAGACCCCACCCTCCCCGGGGCTCCAGCCGGGGATGGAGCACACAAGTCTTTTGGTCAACCCATCCAGTAGCATAATAAGCACCTATTTCAGGTTCTGTCCTCCTTCTCTGTGCTCCAATGGGCACCACGGCATTATGGCTGTGCTTTCACTCCACTGCTTCAAAGCAGCTCCCTGCACAGCACTGTCTGAGCTCCTGGTTCTGCTCCTTTCCCCCCCTTGGCTCCCCTGCCACAGAGACAGTCTCAGGCTCAGCACAGACAGGGCAAGGATTTTAGGAGATGCCTCATGTCCAAAGCTGTGACAGCCAGGGATGAGCTGCTGAGCCTGACCAGCTCCCAGTCCAGTGCCCCAGCCCTGGACCAGCCCAGACGCAGCTGATTCACACCTTGGAGCAGCTGCTGGAGGTGCCTTGGGCAAGGCTCAGCAGGAAATTCTTGCTTTGCGCAGGGCTGGGTGAACTCTGCTCAATTTTCGCTTCAATTCACTGTTTTGATTGCTGTGAGAACATGATCCAGGGATACAGAGACAGGGTTTGAACTCAAAACCTCTACCTTTCGCAACCAGGGTGGGAGAGGAATAGACACAGCCCGTTTGAGTAGAGCTCAGCACCACACAGACACAGAGCTGCAGCTCCCAAGGAGCTGCCAGTCCTGCAGCATCCCCAAATTTCACAGGCTGGTTGAGGGGTTTCCCCCTAGAGCCTGCAATCACAAGATGGACTTTAGGGAAAGCTCCTGCCCTGAAAAGGCTCTGAAAAACCTTTAATATTTATATTATAATGGCAGGAAGAAAGATGCCCAGTTGCTGGCCCAGGACATGCTGGTCCCAGGCAGATGCCAAGGCAGAGCTTCCAAAAAGCCCAGCCACATCCCAGATTTCCCAGGAAGGAGGTGAAATGGCAGACAGCACCAGTGCCAAAGGGATGGTTTCAATGTGCAGCTGGGTCCAGTGGCCACAGGGAGGGGAACAGCCAGAAACAAGCTCTTCAAAAGATATCAGCTCTGAGCCTGGGGACACTGTACTGCAAGGCCATGAGAACTGGGGCAATATCCCACTTGCAAGGTGCTAGAGGAGTACCAGGAGTGTGCTCCCAGCTGAAGAGCATCACTGCTGGCAGCTGGGCTGGCTGCCACCACCGCGGGAGGAAGGTGACTGTCACCAGCTGGTGGCACCAGCATCCCTGCAGCAGCAGCACAAAGCACAGCAGCCCCTCCCTGCAGAGGCTTCACCGTGCACAAACAGCCCCAAATTGCTGCCATTTCACCTGAGAGAAGGAGAAAAGAGGGACAGGGTCTGCCAGAAGGGTTGGTGAGGAGCGAGACTGGCAGCTCATGGCAAGAGCAGGGGGCTGCAACTTTGTGCAGGGTGGGCAGTGATGGGTCACCTCTGCTGGCACAATGGCCACAGACCACCAGGAGCCAGCAGCCAAAGCATCGACAGGCTGGAACCACAGCCCTGGTACCAGCACTCTGTGTCCTGCCTCCACCGAGATCCATGTCCCTCCAGCTGAGCTGAGCTTCCCCTCCTTTGTCCTGGCTGGA